TATATCACCAAGCTTTTGTTTTCTGTGCATACAGACCGTAACGTATCAATTTGTGTAGCAATAAGAGCCAGAAATTTCTGAATTTTTTCGGAACAAAAATGTTAGCAAGCCTCGCAAGACAACTTTCACATATTCTACACTCTACAATTTTTAGATAAAGAGAAACAAAAACCTGAATTTATAAAGAACTTGAAATTGAAACATATTTGTTGCTTCTTTAAAGAAAAATAATTCAATTAAGTGAGTGCTACAAATTTGAGCTGAAATTATCTCTATTTTCAGGTATATTGCATTTGATGTTATTTAGCTTTCAACGTGTTAGCTGTCAATTAAAGGCATCAATGCCAATGGCATATAATTCTGTTGACATGTATGTGAATTTCAAACGTTTTCTAAATTTGGTTCAGCTCTTATGCTATTTAACAATGTAATTTATTCCCCAATCTATCAGGCTGCCAAATAATGACAATACCAGTCGCTGTCTCACCTGCAGCTAGTGACAATGACTAGCTATCTGCACTTAATGCCTGTCAACTAGCTTCTACGCCCCCACACACAAAGCCTGGCGAACTACCGCAGAACTTTGCTGTTAATTACAAATCCATTCCTATATAAAATAATCCCCACACATCTAACCAAAATCATGCCCCGCAAACTTCCAAACTCTCCGTTGCTTTTGCATTTTCAATCTTCGGCAAAAATTTTGACAGCGCCAACGTTCAGCTTATTTATGCATTTACCCGCAGCTCGGCGTGGGGCAGCAAGTCAAGTATCTGTGAGTGCGCGTATCTATCAGATACTTCATGAGCCACTCGTTGTTTTTGGCCTGTCTATTGTGTACTGTATCGAATGCTCGAATCTGTCGCTGTATCTATCCATTGCCCTGGCCAAAGTTTATTTAATATGCGTGCGGCGTCAAAGATGCTGATGATTATTACGGCAGGGGAGGGCAGGGGGACTCATTCGGCTGCCTGGCTGCCTGCCTGACAACCACGCCCACAAGCCATGCATACAAAAATAACCAATATTGATTTGTCGATGCCTGGCACAGCGGAGGGGTGGGGGGGTTGGCATTGCGGGTGTGGAGTACGTCAACGCTGCTGCCGCTGCTGGCTTCATTTTGGCGAATGCTTTTAATCATTTTGGTTGCAGCTTCACGGGATACATGTATGCAAAAAGGCTGTCATATAGCTATCCCCCTTCCACGCCCACTTACCCCCATCGCCAGGCAGTGAATCTGAGGCATGGCCATTACACTGAGAAATACAATCAAAAAGTTTTTGATTTCATGCCATAAAATTTGAATTTCTAAATAGATCTAAAGAATTTTAGCATTTGGGTCAGAAACTGAAAGCTTTGCATATGTTAATTTAATTGTTTTTCTGCTAAGAAGATATTGTTTTGCGTATAACAGAGTTTCATCTAAATTATGCAGTAATACGCGGTCTTAATCATTAATGAATGTATCAATATCAAAGGTTATAGTTTGCTTTGTTTAAAAAACATTTCCTCAGTGTAAAATGCGGCTTATTAATTTTGTTTTGTCAACTCTCTCGCACATCGCTGGACACTTCAGTGTGTGCAACTTTTTTGTTTGTTGCCAAAAGCCGCCGCCAGACAACCGACAACAAATGCTCTGACACTCCACTCCCTCCCTCTCTCTCTCTCTCTCTCTCTCTCTCTCGCACTCTCTCTTCGGTTAAGTGCATTATTATGCTGATTATCATTATCAACGGTGTGCCAGACATTGCGGCCCAGGCAGCGGCCTCTGGCATATCTCATCTATTCTATTATATGATTCATAGTTCTCTGGTATACTTCAATAGCCTGAGCGGTGGCTTTAGCACGCTTGATAGGCTCCATTAAGCCTCATCGCACCACCGCCAACCCACACACCGTTAACCAACACTGTCTTTTATACGAACTCTTATCGCTCTCTTGCTCACTCTGTGCGTTTTTGGATTTTGTGTGTAATAAAGCGCAGTCTGTGCACAATTGAAATTTATAATTAGTAGCCAGAAACACACACACACACACACACGCTTCTACACACTGGCACACGTATGGAAATTTGATTAATACTTCCGAAGTTATTTGTTATTAGATTACACATAGCCTGGCCTTTTGGATATGGAGAGTACCACAACATTCTCGCATGTCTATGGGGCACTCTTCTCTTCCGTTCTGCTCTCTCTTTTTGTCTCCATTTTGCTGCTCTTCTGTTCTATTCCATTTTGTGCGTCTCTATTGTCTGGCAGCTTGTGCATTGTTTCCTCTGCTTTGTTTGCGACTGAGGCTGCGTTCACTGATAACAGTTTTTGGGCGGGCGAAGCCAAACTTCAAATTGAAAACTTTAATTAGAATTATTGTTGTTGTTTTTGTTGTTTTTGCTGCTGCTGCTACTGCTGCTGTTGCTGCCGCCTGTCTGGCGTGCATTGTCAATGACGGCCGGAAAACGCGCCGCTAAAGTGCTCCATAGACTGCGTCCAAACACTCCCAATGAACTCTGAGGCTCACCTTTGCCTTGCCGTCTCTGCGAATGGTTGATGATGGTGGTGGGAGTATACCAAAAGTTGACGCAAAACTTTGCCTCAGGAACTTGACGCGTGTTCAACATACTTGAGCGCCTCCGTTGAAGAGTTGCTCGACGGTCGCAGCGGGGCAAGGGGCAGCGTGCTCGGCCATGGCTGGTGGCAAGTGCAGTTTTAATAAGTTAAAAGTTTTGCCTTGGAAAATCAGTTAGCCGCTTAGTTTTCTTCGGGTTGCTTTTTTTTCCTTGTATGTGTTGCGCATAGCACAAGTTCTGGAATGTCTGGGCACCGCCCCCGCCAACGCCCCCTCCCCTATACTCTGTTAGTATGCCCAACAAATGGCTTTTATCAATCAATTCAATTTGGCTTGTTGTTGTCGCCCAACTATTTCCTGCTTAATTGTCAATTAGTGGGCACAATTTGTGCACCCTGTTTTCAGGCCCAATCAGCCGAAACGAATTCGATATCGTCTACTCGTAATTCTATACCACATTCTACACCAATCAATAAATACAACAAATTAGAGAAAAGGCGAAAAAAAAATATAAAAATAATAATTAGAGTCCAATCAATTTATTTATTAAAAATATGGTTGTAAACTATGTGGAAGAGAACGCCACAAAATTGTCGGTTTGCATTGTTTACACGACGGACCGACAAACCGACCAACAAAACCCATTAATTAGTTATCCCGCAAATTAGTGGAACATTTTCTGCACTATTTAATATGCGAAACGAGCCGAAAGTTGTTAATACTCTTGCTACGGGCTTTATGACTTGCAAATGATTTTCATAAATAATAAAATTAAACATAGACTTCTCTTATAAACAATTTAAGATTTCTAAAAAAAAAAAACTATCAAACCAAAATCTTTAAATTTCTTACTTCAAGCTGTTTATCAATTGACATGGATTTTTTTTTTAAGCTCACTCTTGATTATGTTTTCCGCTAGAGTATTTAATCTTCGTTGCCCGGTTATGTCTTTTCCCTAATGTATTTTTTCGTTTTATTCTCTAGAGTTCAGCGTATTTACCAGCTTTTGGCTATGAAATATTTAAATCTAATTTATAATATGGTTAGCATTTGATTTGAATTGTTTTTTTATTATTATTATTTTTTTCTGAGGTCGCTTCATTATTCCGTTTTGTAAGCTGAGCAAATTATGGTTATAATATTTTTTTATAGTAAGCGTGTGATTTTAGTTGCCAAAAATAAGAATCAAAGATAATTAATAAACAAAAAAAAAAGATTATTGTGAGTTGAGGTCTTAAAGTGCTCTCGCTTGGGAAAGTTTGAATTGGTGTTATTCAATTTGATGCTTTCAAAATGATTTAATTAGTTATTTTTTTGTTCATTTTAAGGAAAATTTGAATTTGTTTTATTTTGTTACCATTAAGAAATCACTTTGTTTTGTTAGCCGTGGGAATCGAGCAATATCTTCTGATCTCTGCCAGCCAAAAGGTTGTGTTCTAAAGGAATATTGTAACAATGTTTGTTAGCTTAAATGGTACTTACAGTTGTGGTTAAAGACGTGGCCCAATACTGTAGGGCTTTTAGATGATTGTGGTGTGTTTCTTTAATTCAATATATCGTAAATATGTCGCAGATCAATTGTCGGGCAATTGCAACACACAAATTTAATGATCTATATAGAATGAGTTGTAGCCGTGGGTCTCGAGCTCTTTAGCAATGCGATCATTTATCAATATCAACGAATCGTTTCCCATTCGATTTGGCCTCGTGCCACACATCCGTTGAGTGTTGCAAGCTCTCAAAGCATATTTCAATTTGACCGCATATAAATTGGAGAGCGTTGAAATTGGAGTATTGCCGCGTTTGCCATATTGTTCTAATTGCTGCCATTTGTTATGAATAAAATCGACTGAAATGCGTGTCGTTATTTTGAAATCAGCTGGCACATTCGAGAGGGGGCCCCTCTAATTGATATTAAATAATAACACAACAAGAGCACGACAACCTGTTACGCAAATTGGTTTTAGCCCTGCGCTCGTATGAATATATATATATAGATATTTTTTTAATAAATGCAAAGCCATAAATAAACTGACGCCCAGGTACAAGAATGGGGCGAGACAAAAAAAAATATGAAGAAACACGCAAATTAATAAAGAACACAAAGACGTGAAAACCGAAAAAAAAAAAAAATTAACAAAAAAAATCTTTTGTAATATCTCAAATTTCTCAAACGTTTATCATACGATTTGTTTTGTATTTATTTCTTTTTTGTTTTTTTGCCACATATTTTATATATTATTTACGCATATTACAGCCGGCCCGATGGGCAGCGTGACTAATTAAGCAATTTCTGAGCCAATCTGAACTTGGTTCGGTCTCCCCCAGTTTCCAGTTCCCCCCCACCTGCCGCACGCCAGCCCTCTTGCGTTTCGCGGCTACAATTTTATTTTAACGTTCAGCTCCACTAACTATTTATGGCTTTCCTGATTAAATATATTTTTTCTTATGGCTCGGCCTTTGTTGCTGCGCTGTTGGTTAATTTATTTTTTATTTTTATCGCCATACGAACTTTAATTTTATTGTGCGCTCCATTTGGGAATCCGTGCAGCAGCTACTCGTATCATATGCGAAGAGTTGCCCCTTGAAGTATCTCAACTATTTGCTGCAGTCTGTTTTAGCTATGTTCGATTAAAAGTTCTTAAGTTCTTCAAACACATCATTGTTGGATCGTTTATAGTTGCTGCAAAGTTGTTGGAATCAATGCTCATTGGAGTGTTACATATTTCTAGGAATTCAATACGTTACATGCTTCATAGTAGTTGCCTGTCGTGCCTAAGCACTTCTGAGAATTACCATAAATGTATAAATTCTCTTTTTGAATTATTTCCCATTTTTTCAAACGATTTGACACATAAAAGTTTGATTATAGAAAGTAAATCTTATACTAAATAAATAGCTCTCATGAAGGTAAACATTTTACCCGCCAGCTTAAAGTTCAGATAAAGGTCCTTGAAAAATATAAAATGCAAGCCTATAATTTTCACATATATGGTTTATAGAGTGTTATATACTTCAAACTGCAGAAAGCTACATATATACATTTTATCAATTTTAGTTGTTTTTTTAAGTTTAATTGTAACAATCGATATTTGTACAAGTCTATCGATATATTTCCTATCGATTAGGGTCGAGCTTGAAAGTGCGATCTCATAGATCTCAAATAGTTAATGTATTGTAAAATAAAATATCCAACTCAGATATAATATTACATTATTTATACAATAATTATAAATGGACCTCTTGCTACGTTATGCCACACATCTTTCGTTTTTGTTTAGCCCAAATGTTGATTTACTATTGCATAACTCGGATTTTTCACCTTTCAGAGTATTTTGAGTTCAGTCATTCATCGCGTAGTTTTTCGCTTGTTACTTTTTTATTTTCCCTATCTGCTTTTTATGAAGTTTAGTGCTTCATTAAGCATCAGTTCGAACCGTCTTCGACTTTTGTTTTAGCATCGTTCTTGGGTTACGTTTTTTTTTTTATTTCTTTGTTGTCTTCGTTTTTTCCATTTTCATAAGCGCGTAATTTACTTAAGCTGCTTTTGGCTTAATATGCGCATTTTAATAGATTTGTTCCACTATCGTCAAGGCAATAAATTATAAAATTCTACTCTTGAACGTTGCGAGTTCCCAACTCTAAACCCTGCCCCTTCAGCTCCGCGCCAGACCTTGCCCTGTGCGCATGCACTTGCGCTGTATTTTGCTGCCTGCCAGTTTCTGAAAGCTATTGAAAGCGGCTGAGTGCCTCTAAGATGCAACTAATGATAACGACAGAGCCGCAGTAGTTGTGCAGCAGGTTGGGGCAGGTAGCAAGGGGCAGCACGATTAAGCTGCTTACCTGTGGGGCGTAGCTTTTTGGGTGTAGCTGCCGCATCAGCGACCTCCACACTCACACACACACACACATCTGACAGCTCAATGGCCGTTGCCCCTTCTCTGTGGGTGTGTGTATGTGTGTGTTGGTTGTGTGTGGGTTGAGTTTGTTTTGTGTTGATTTACAGTTGGCTCCATTCATAATTATCAGCGTTGGGCGACGGCAGCGTTGCGCTTTTTCACGCTTTGGCGGCTCATTAAAAGCGACGCATCGCTGCCCGCCTCCACCCAACCCCCCTCTTTGCGGGCGCATTCGCCACTTGCCACGCCCCAGCATTACGCTGGTGTGCGTATGTGTTTGAGTTTGACATTAGAGTTTGGCACCACAGTTATAAATTATGTTTGGCTATGCAACAAGATTGATAGCTCTCCACAGGCAGGCCTTCGCGCCAACAGAGAATGCCGTTAGTTGTTGTGCCTTGCCTCCTCTGCCGCATGTGTCATCATCTGCGCCTACATATTTGGCGGGCCCGTGTGTCTTGTGACCCAGTTAGGACCTTTAATTAGCATATGCAACGCCGCTCCAAGCATTTGCTGTTTGCATAGGCGAACGCGTTCCGCTAATTTTCGTGCGCCACAAATGCACAAATGCACGTGCCCCAGCATCTATGTACCTCATATGTGTATATAGTCGCCATATCCGCGCAGCGTATTTCTTAACACTGCGACAGGGAATTTCAAATTTGCGGTCGTTATTTCAAATGCATGCGTAACCCCCAAAATCGTGCTAGCCAGAGAGATTGAGGCAGTACGCCGGAGCTGGGGCTTTCGGTTAGCGGGTTCTCTCTGATGGGCCAAACGGAATGGCTAATGCACTGAAGTTCGCTTTATCGTAATAATGTTGAAGTGAACTGTTTTCCAAGCTTCTGCAAGGCTAATGTTCGGGAATTTCCTTTAAATAATTTGTAAATATTTATGATAGTGTTACAAAATGCAGAAGGTGCATTCTCTTTGCCCAATCCATTTTACAATAACTTGGACATGCATTCTACATTGTCCCATTTTTGTGAAATTTTTAAGGCATAATTATGACATTCAAATGTGTGTTAATACCAAAGGCCAAGGCCCTGTATCTAAAAATTCTTCTTTTTCATTTTAATCAAACAATTTTAAATGGGTTCAAAATGTATATATGTATGTGTATAGGAAATCATGAATACATTTTGTCATTCAAGCCTCACATATTTAATAAGTTCTCGAAATTTAAATTGACTAATTAAATTAAATTAAATTCGTGTTTCGATCTAGTTAAGGAAATGAATCTTTGGAATTTATGAAATGATTCCTTTATAAATTTTATATCGGCAAATTTAATTAAATTACAAAAGTTAATTAACATAAGTGATACGGTAAATACATTAAAAACTCTTCTAATGCTACTCATTTCAGTTCACAATCCCCAATCCCCTTCTTCTCGATAGTTCCTGAACACCGTACACAGTTTTCACTGTACAAAGTAGTGTCCTCGCAGGACTAGACCTGATACACTTTTTGCGCTCGTATCTGAAGAAACTCTTAATCGTCTATAAATCGTCTGCCAAGAGTAGAGGGCAAGCAATCAGGATTCGTGTTCTCTTGGACTTTTTTTCTACAGCAAAAAAATTTACGCCATTAACAAACAGCTGTTTCATAGATTCCGCAAAGCAACACCTTTCATTGCTGAGTAATTTTCACGCTGTTTTTCTCGCGTTTCCCGCTCTCTCTCTTTCTCTCTCTCTCTCTCTCTCTCTCTCTTTGGCGGCCCATAAGCATTCCTTGTACGCGTTGAGCCCTAATCCCAGGCCCATCCATCAACTCTGCGGCTACAAAGCAAATCCGATTCGCTTCAGTTTTGTTTTTTTTTCTCTTGGTGGCAATACCACACAATGGCCGCTGGTCATGCAACACAGAGAGCCAAAGCAAACCAGAGCAGGCAGCTGAGTAAAGCGCTACAGAAACCACTTCAATTTCATGAAATCTCTTTAAATGTAAAACAACACACAAAACAAACACAAAAGCAACAATAACAACGACAACAACAAGAAGAAACGACAGCAACAGCTGACCGCATACAACTTACATGACAAGCTGCACTTGAATCGAATTTGATTAAAAGTTGATACAAACAAATTCTTTGCTAGTGAAAATAAGAAACTTAAATGAGTTTCAATTTCGTGAGTGCCTGCTGTATCCAGTGCTCGAAAACGTCATTGCATGTACAGTTAAAAATTATATAAATCTATTAGAAGCAGTTGTTGCTGTTGCTGTTGCTGTTGCAGTTGCAATGTCACAGTCGACTACACTTTATTTGATTTCATTACGAACATTTTTCAGCTTTTGTTGACATAGCGCTTCAGAGAGGGAGGGCGAGAGAGAGAGAGCAAACTAGTTGGAGCGAGATAGCGCCATGCTCCTTTTATTGCTTTTCGTATACATATGCATGCATGTATATATGCATGTGTGAGTGTGTGCACAATCAAACATTGATGTCAGAATTTAATATGCTGTATAAATCGTTTTGAGCCATTGACACATTCATGCATTCGTTTCATATTCGTAGAAAACAGCCACAGATACACAGTTACAGTTACAAACAAGTGTGTGATTGCTCCTGGCTGAGAATGCTCGACTTAGAAATATGCTGTAAAGCGATTTTCTTAGAATAGCTCACGTATTAAAGCATTAAGGAGGAAATTACAGATGAGCGTTAAATAAATGATTGAAGCTTAGGAGAAAGTATTCTTTTTACATAATATAATGGACCATAGTCAAAGCAAAAGACATGCTGAGTGAAAACTGTAGACCTATCGTAATTATCGATTGGTCCAACTATCGATTAATTTGATTCATCGAAAGCGAGAGCCTGCTCTGACCTATAAGACCCCACAAACATTGTTACCCTGCGCAATTACGAGGTTAAAAAAACAACCAAAGATTCGTGACATGGTCGTAACTCTCAGCTCCTATATGAAAAAATATTTATATTTACACGCAGCTCACACACACACACACACATATACATACAGCATACAGAGCAACAAATTCTTGTTTTTTATACATTTTTCATATTTCTTTGTTTTGTATATGAAAAAAAACTACAACAAGAAAAACAACAATTTGTTCACTCTTATTGTTTTTCGAAGCTTTTCCATTGGTTCACATTTCATTTATTTTCACTTGCAGTCGACTCAACAGGGCGTGTATTTGTTTGTGTGTGCGTGCGTGTGTGTTGGTGTATCTGTGTGCACTTCACAACTTAATACACTTTATTATTGAAAATATTTTTTTATTACCAAGTGGGCTGTGTGAAGCGCTTTTCCCAGAATTTGGCCCTGACACGCTGCGCATAGTTAACCCCCCACACACCCCCCTGCTCCCACCATACACTCCCCTCGCCCCGCGCAGCTTGTTGTTGCTGTTGCCTGGCGCATTGATTTGCTGCACTCGTTCCATGAAATATAAATACCGAGTACAAAGCACTTCTCTCAACATCATCGAACTTTGCCCCATTATACGCGTACAATTTATTTCTTTTTAATACCCTAGCCAAATGTATTATGATAAAATTTAGAATAGATACGTCTTATTGCTGCAGGCAGCGCATATCTGAAAATAAGCTGGATAGAAAAAATATCCTATATGCAAACATTTACAGGGTGTTCGAAGTTAAGGGGAAGAGTTTTCATAAAACAAGCTTGCCCATAACCTAACAATCTTTTCAGTTTTATTTTACCATACAATAGAAAGAATCTGCGACTAAATTCCATAATATTACTTAGTTAAGAGTATTATATATTGTGGGTAAGAGTATTGAGTTTTCGACTCTCGGCGTGGAAGTTTATTTTTCTTCCGTTTTTATTGCTCGGATTTTGATATTCATGTTGCATGTTGCTGACTTTTGAAGTTTTCGCAAGTGGAAACTTATTTTGATTATTATTATTTTTTTTTTCTTTTTTTTTTGGGTTTTTATTCAAATTTTTGTTGCTTCCTTTATTTTGGCTGTTGGGTGTTCAATTTGTTTATTTTAATTTAAATATTTTTTGTTATGTTCTGAGGATATGCGAACATTTTATCTGTGCTGATTATTGCTCAAAGTTTTTGTAGGCAATGTTTTTGTTTTTTATTCTCTGGATTTTTATGCAAATGCCACTTGGAGCCTCTTTAATGAACTACTTTTTGTGGCCGGTCCCGTTTGACTGCTCACATTCAATTGAATTGTGCGTGTGCCACGCCTGCTGCCACCTCCGCCCCTCAATCTCCTGATCCCATGCGCATAATTTATGTGCCCGCTTCTCGCTGGCTCATTTGCCAAAGTTTCTCTCTATATATATATATGTATATATTTATATATACATTACACACAATCGCACAAGATTCGCTCGATTCGTTTCTGTGTGCGTCACTTTGATAAATGATATCAATTTCTTATGAACTCTCCGGTACATAAGTAGCATAGTATAGGCGTCAAAGTTTGTTTTCCGAATGTTGTTTTTTTTTTTATTTCTATTTTGCCTCGTTTTGTTTTATTTTGTCTGCGTGTGTGTGTGTGGTGTGTTGTGTTGTGTTTGTTGTGCAACTGTCGTCATTTTGCCAATTTGACACTTTTAACGGCTGCGCACTTGAAATTCAAATGCTCCCCGGCGCTTGACGGTTGAGCATATGAATTTTTAATGTGGCATGTGGCAGGCTTTTAGAGGCACGCGAAATCTACATATGGTTAAGCTTATCAATATGCTAATCGTTCAACCGTGTGTGTGTGTGTGTGTTTCTGCATAATGGGGATGTTAACTAAGGTACTCAGGTGGATTCGGGCTGTTAGCAGGTACACGTTGTTGTCTTTTACTTTTCCATCAGACAGCAGAAAGGGGTTGTCGTACCTGCAAAATTTGCTATAAATAGTATGCATACATTTTTAATGCGTACAATTCGGTTGAAATTTAAAATTAGAGTAAATGTATTTTTAAACGAATTAAGATTTTACTCGTTTTGTACTGAGTATCATCGCGAAAGAAAGTTGACATTTCCAGAGTAGGTCTATAAGCTATGTACTGAACCATTTAAATTATACTGACTCTCTATTAATACAACACATTATCAATACACTTCTAGATTCCTTATATTTGTTTGATAACTTATCTAAAATCGAATCGAGATGAATATTGAACTCTTTCATAATTTCTAATGTGGAAACTCGTGGATAACTCTTACTTTTTTGTTTTGTTAGTTTATGTTGTTTTCTCGATTATTTGCAGATAAAATAGAGTAATGCCATTAAAAGCTAGGGTTACCGGGTTTATAAACCGCTTAGCTTGGCTTAGAGTAGAATTTATCAGGCAATTTTGTAATTTGTAGCAATTTATCCATGTCTGCTTTAGAGGCATGTATTAATTTTATGTAAATTAGATATGTGCTCTTGTAATTTTCATTTGTTAAAAGCTCAATTTCACTCGTTGCGACTGTCAGTTAAAAATGCTTGCGGCTCTGGGCCTAATCAAATCAGCCATTTTAGCTGCCAACTTTTACCAATTTCTCGTAAACTAACATTTCTAACGAGCCAAAAATGAAGAAAACACAACAAAAAACAGAACATTTTGATGTGTGGCCAGTTGGCTAGCAGGCCATCGGCTATTAGCCCAGAAAAAACACACACATTAGCCAGAAATGAAACGAGGTGCAGACCCACCAAGTAGCCAGACGACAGACGACAAAAGCAACCGAAAAAAAAATAGCCGCCAGCCAAAACAGTTCCCAGACAGGGCCCGGGCAGGGCCGGGGCGAACTAGAAAAACTTTTGGACGCTAATCTATAATGCTGTCAGCCATTAAACATTAAACAACTGAAAAAACCAAATTTGTAACTCATTAAAAAACAAAAGGAAAAAAAAAAACGAAACGAAACGAAACGAAATGGAACTAGCTGAAAGTGAGTCGAAATGACTGATAAATGCCACTCGGCTGCTCTCGCGGCTGTCTCATTTGGGCTGCCAAATAATATTTAATTATAAACAAATAAACGCAAGTCGAACAACTTTTCTGAGAGCCCGGGGGCAACTCGATGGGGTCGTATCTATGTTGTTTCTATCTGCGTTTCTTTTTGGAGACTGCTGTAAAAGGTGCAGAGTGATTAATTATATGTCAGAGGAATTAAATCAAATATTTGAGTTGACACACACACACGCACACACAAACACATACAGAGAGAGAGAAACGTACACTTACAAAGCGAACCGAATGGTCTTAGCGGCTCTGCGGCTTATCTGTCTATACGAAATCACGAAATGCAAATAAAAATGACTTAAAAATGCCATAATAATTTTCCGAAGCGTGCATGAAAAATTGAAAAATTGAAAAACCAACGAACAGAGAGCTGCGCAGCGGCAGGGTAAGTCCGAAAGATAACAAAATTCTCAACCTTTTCCGCTGTTAGATCAGGCAAGAAAGCAGACAGACTGAGTTTGGGCGAGCGAAAGGTAGGCAGGCAGACCGACAGTCATGACAAAGAGAAAAAATAAAGAGGAAGATGAAGAAGAAGAAAAACATTAGCATATATCAATGCCAAATGCAAATAAATCATCAATAACATTTCTTTTCCACTTATGCACCACTTACAGATACTTAACCGCGAGCAAGACAAAGACGCTGAGCAGCGACTGCAGCTGCATTTATTTCCAACTTCTTCTTCGTCTTGGAGACGGAGCGCAGGAGCGAGAGAGTTTTGTCATATGCCTGGCAGCATTTGGAAACGGCGCCTTTTGCATAAATTGACGCCAGGCGGGCGGATAAGCCGAAAATGGGAGCAACAGCAGCAGCAGGCGCTGCGAGTGTGAGGCAGAAACAAGCCCGAAATGGAAAGGCAAACATAAAGCAATTTTATGCGTTTTTAAAATCCGTCAATTGACTGAAACAACAAAAGCTGCTGTTGAAATTCAAGAGAACCGCATGTGAGCACGTTTTCCAGCAAAACGAGGAATGGAATAAGGGAGACGCACAAATCAAATACAGCCATATAAGCATATCGAATAGGAACCGCAGGACGAAGACGTCGCTGATAAGAAGGCAACTGCGAGGAGCCAAGCAGAACGCTTGATGGTTTGTTGACGACCAACAAAAAGTTGTTGAGCGTGTAAACATTTTCAGCATACAAAGGGAAAAAGGGAAAATGTAAAAAGGAAAAGGGAAAAGCCAAGGCAGCAGCCAGCCGGCGGCACGAAAGGAGCTGCGAGCCACATTTATAAATGCGCTACAGTTACAAATTGTAGCCACAGCTGTGCGTGTGTGTGCTCGTGTCTGTGTGTGTACAGCACATGTGCTCTAAACCATTTATAAATGTAACAAAAAGCAGACAGAGCCAGTTGGGAGCAAGTGCAATGCATAAATATAAACAAAGATACAAGTTGAAGAAGGAGCTAAACAAGATACAACAACAACGGCAGCAACAACAACAACAACAACAACAATAACAACACGAACGGGGGAGCTGTGTGCCATAAACAAAACGAAAAAAAAATCAATATTTTTTAAAGCGCCAACGAATTACATTTGTGTATCTGTGAGATAGCATTTAAAAGAGACGTGCAATCCAGTTCGACAAAAGGAAACCCACAAGCAAGGTTCAATTGCAGCAACAATTGCAATTTTGCAGTTGTATCTGCAAGATACATTAACGTCGAGGGTGTGTCGCGAGTGTTAAAACAAAAAGCAAAAAAAACAAAAAACAATACGCGGCGTGCAGTGCATAAAATAAGCGAATTTATGTGCCAAAAGTGCAATTTGAAGCCGTAGATACATTTGTATCCGCAAGATACAATTGTGACAAGTGCAGCCTGAGGCAGTCGAGAGCCCAAAACGCCCAAGGCAGCTGTATTCGTGCAGCCAAATACAATTCTATCTGTGAAAAAAAATGCATCGAAAATTGCAGTTCAGATACATAAATAAGTAAAAAACTCAAATACTTAAATATACAATGATACAAGTGCTAAATAGCAGTCCAGTAATCAATCTACAGTGCAAAGGGGCCTTTCACGCGACTTTTGCATAGAAAGATACATATGTTTTTTTGAGATACATTTTCAACAAAGTGTTTTTGCAGCAACAGTAAAAAACCCAATCAAAATAAAGTGCTTAAACAAATTTGCACAAATAGATACTTTTGTATCTGTGAGATACATAGTAGAAAAGGTGCAACTACTGCGTCAATAAGTACACAACAGTATGAGATACAGTGAGATACTTTTGTATCTGTAAAATATGTTTGTATTCTAAAGATACATTTGCAACAAAAATCCGTTTAAAAAGCAACCAAAATTAAGTGAAGCACCAACGCCAATCGCCAGCCAACAATCAGCTAAAATCAAATCAAATAGCAAACACAGCGAAAATCTCTAACGCATTTGCACCTGATAATTCAATTTTTTTCTTCTTTTCTGTCCAATTGATTTGTAGAGAATTCACAATTGGCGCCAACGGAGCCGCACAGTCAAGCAACAACAAATGGAACATGTTGATGCCGGTGCTGGAATACAACAAACACATTGCCAAAATACCAAATTGCAAAATGAGGTCGCTTAGGGCGTGTATGCAGCAACTGCTGCTATTGCTGCTGCTGTTCGGCCACAGCGACGTTTGCCGGGCGCTGGACATTGCGGCCAGCAATGGCGGAGGAGGCGGTGGCAGCAGCACCGGCTCCGGCTCTGGCTCTGGCCCTGGCATGGGTGCGAGTGGCGGCACTGCGTTGAGTGGGCCGCCGGGCGCACTGAATGCCAATCTCACGGATCTGGGCAGTCCCGGTGTGTATAATTCGACAAATGGTTTAATGCTAATTACATGTAGAGCTGAGCTGTTTAACTGTTAACTCCCCAACCAAAATTGAGGCGACGCCGCCATTTTGGCAATTTCATGATGTTTGCGTGCGTGTGTGTGTATTCTTGTGCGCACTTCCGGTTTCCTTTTCCGCTGCCCACTGACCGGTTGCCTTGGCAAAAAACTATTAGCCACTTTTAGCTAAATAACCACGCCCAGCCACCCCAACTCTTATGTGTATATATATATAACAGCACACCTACACACACACACACACACTAGCAAAACACTAAGCATCAATTAACCCAATTTTTAGAATCCATTTTCACCTGACTCCGGGCACTGCTCTCTGAGCTTTAGCTTTTCTCTATATACTTTGCAAGCTACACTTCTTTCATGTTTTCTTTTATTTTATTTTATTCGTTTTCTTTTTCTGTTCTAACCTCCCAATGCAGTAGTGTGTTTGGCCATGCTGTTCTTTTAGATGTATTTTTTTTAGAATATTTTTTGTGCCCAGCTCGACAAATGCTACTCTCAGGGTCCCACGCTGAAAAGAGTCTAATAGATGAAATTTCTTTGAATATCATAGCATAGCATCGAATTATATAGTCAAAAGCTATAAGATTCCGATAGGATATTTCTTCACCTAAGACATTCCATTAAGAGGCCAGGATATATTATTAGAAAATTATGAGTCTATGTTAGGCTAACAACCCTATTTTTCGTACTACTGGGTAGCTGCTGGTCGGGCTGCAATGACTTCAGCACACTGCTCACTATGCTGCACCATCACGAATCCCAAGTGGCGACGTCGCCGTACGCCAAAGTTTAATCCCAGAAATTCCATACACACATACTAGTACATAATGTGGCTCGCCTCTACCCGGCAGCTTCTCTTGGCATTTTTTCTTTCTTTCTCCCTCTTTCGCAGGCGCTGACGTGTTCTGTTGTAGTTTGGTTTTGGTTTGGTCTGGAGGATTGGATGGGAACGCCTTCATGGAAGCTTCCAGCAACGATTATAATTAATCTATTGATTTTAATTTGCAGCTTACTGAATAATTCACACAAATATTACAATTAATTTTTTCCAGCATTTAACATGGCATATTTAAATAACTATGAACGAAATTTTTTGATGAAAATTCCGTTTATTTAATTTCTTTTTTGTTTTTGTTATTCCCCAGCTCAGCAAATGGAGCTCATTACGAATTGATGAGCTCGTAATCAGCAGCTACAGCTACTTTTAATAAAATTTAATTTCAACAGGCATTTTTATTACAGTTTTCACATTTTCTGATTTGCATTTAATCATAAATAATAAATATTTACACATTTCACAGGATTTCTTTTTCTATTAATCTAATTATACAATTTCATAGACTAGTTTTTACTCCCCATCTTAACCATGCGGGTGACATTGGCCCTGGACAGCTGGTACAAGCGCTGCCGAACAGACATTTGATTGATTTGCTGCCCAGCATTTATCAGCCCGTCCAGCTAGAAGCAGCTGCTGCTGAGACCCAACGCTGCTGGGAGCACTGGGAATGCCAACTGGTAAGTTTTATTGGGTGCGCCCTTCGGCCAGTTTTAAATAGCAGAATTTGACATACATTTATGTAGGTGGTGGCAACTTCCTCAACTTATACGGGCCAGGCCTACTCTGAAGTCGTGACACTTTGTGAAAGCAAAAGTAACGCAACTCTTGAAATAATTTAAATAGAGGTTTCATATGCTATATAATTTTTATATGCACCAATTCGTCTAATTTACATAATTAAAGTAATTGCTAACTTTTATTGCATTTTAAATTAGCTCAAAAACACAGAAATATTATTATAAATATATTGAAAATCGCTTCGATGATTTTTGTTAAATAAATTTAATATTTAAATCGACTCTTAAAATTTTGATATATTTTATAAACGCTTCATTTTGATTTGAGCAAAGAGAACCTAAACCATTCGTGTTCATTTAAAAAACAAAAATATTTTAAAGTCTTAGTCTTTAAAAAAAATAATAAATAAATCATAAAGAAACAAGTTGTAAATCATTATCCTATCATTTCATTTAAAAATTGCAAGCTCATAAAATATTAAATCATTCATCAAATTTATTTGAATATTTCACTATATTGTAAATTTTGTAAGTATACTTTTAAATAGTGAAAGAAAATGAATAAATTTATTGTTATTGAATATAAACGATATATTGAGTGTGATTTTTTATTAAATGGGAAAATATTCACATTGAACTCCCAAATGCCTCCATAAATGTATGCCATCAATTTCCACAGCAAAGTATATCAGGTCAAAGACAAGTGTCCTATTTTATTATAAAATACGAGTATTATTATAGTTTCTTAAATATATAAATCATATTGTCCATTTTGATCGTTTAACTCTTTAGACAAGTTCTAGATTTATCAGACCGATAAATATGCAGTAAATATAATCCTTATGTCCAAATCTATTATGCGATCGAAGATAGCTCTCTTGTTATTACCCTCTCTCTGGTATGGTACGCTTCACTCAGCGAACGGGGTGGGCAGGAAGTGGACTGCAGGCAAATGCCTTTATAAAGATAACGCTCGGCCTACGCGACTGCAGCTAAGAGAAACGTGTTTCAGGCGAACTCTTGGCCAGCCTTTCAGCTTGTTGTGTAGCCTGAGATACGGATATTTTTAATGCGTTCGCTGCAACTTGAAAGCCAAACATGGCACATAGATCGATTGGAACGAAAGTGTTGATAAGGTAAGACCAAGAGATAAAGTCAATCAATCAGCGGAGACAGCGTCTTTTTTTAAATTGACTTAATTATCTAGACTAGAGACTAAAAATAGTTGCTTCACATCGAAATTGGTAACTTAATATGCCAATTGGCTGCGAACAAGCCAATGACTTGAGCTTATGAACATATTTAGAGCGCTTGAACACGACTTTGAATGGGTTTTATTAATAAATTATACAAAATATTTGGACAGCAAAACAATTTGATGTGAATGACAACAAAAGATAGTATTGAGTTTCAATAGAAACTGGTTTGTGGTCTTATCGCAGTTGTTATTTTTCTTTTGTTATGTTTTGTTTTCCGAGCTAAGAGCATTTCAGAAATTATTGTTAAATTAGTTTGAAAATTGTCTGATCAATTTTCTAAGCCAAAAACTTGGCAAATTCCCGAAGCTGCTGAAATACACGAAAACTTTCACATTGCGTCCTTTCAACTGCCATACACACACAGAAAACTTGCAACCAAACAAATAGCTGGCCATAAGAAGTTGTTCAAATATTTATTTACTTTTTCAAGTTGTTTCTTTATATCATTTTTTTTTTTTTTCTTCTCTCTTCTATTCTTTATGTATAAGTCCTTGGGGCAAAAGTTGGCCGCTACTTTTTGCACCTGGCTTAAGTTGTTCTGCTGCAAAACTAATAACAAATCTTTTCATTAGTTGCGTTAGACAAGTTAGTTAAAAAAGTGCACTTTAGGCAAACAAATGCGAGTCTGTATACAGAAAACAATAGAGCAGAACAGCATAAGGAGAAAAAAATTGTCTAAGCCAATAACCAGCAGGCAGCTGCCGAAAAGCCACAGTTGGAGTTAGAAAACTGACTGCAAGTTGTTGAAAAGTTGCCACTACCCTAACCATAATGAAAACACAACATTTAGTTAGCACTTGTATTTATCTAAGGCAGACACACACACACAGTGAGTGCAGCAGGCACTGAGTAGGATGGCCAACAGTTTTCCATTAATAACTCAAAAATGTTTTCACTTATATAAGTTCAGTACACCTTTTAACGGGCTCTCTGGGGATGGCTGCTCGCAAGTGTCCTTTAAAAAGTTGTGTGTTTCTTGTTTTTCATATTTTTCTTTTGTCCCATGTTTGTTGGGCAACAAACAAATCAAAGGAGTTGGCAACTTGCTTTGCCACTCTATCGACTTGTTGGTAGGGGGTAGAGGAGGCGTGGCAGTACAATGACTCTAACAACAGCAGGGACAAGTCATGACAATGGCAATTAAAGCAACAACGTTGGCAACAGACAAACTTTGGCCATAAAAAAACATTAAAAGCAAAAACGAACCAACAGCCAACAACTATGGCAAAATGGGTAAAAACTCTCGTAATAAACGAAAATTATGATGATTTTCTATTTGGCATCGCGTTTTACAAAATCATTTTCAAAGTCCAAGCGCAAAAACAAAGCAACATAAAAGCCATTCGACAAAGGAGCTGAAAGACAAACACACAGCCTGAAAGAGAGCGAGAGAGAAAGAACGAGGGGCAGATGGAGATTAAGACGGAAAAACCGAATGGAAAAAGAAATTAAATGACAGGAAAATATATATTAAATGATAGCAACAATGTTTATTGTCGCGAGTGCGTTAAGTGAAATCATTTACAACTGGTTTAGCTGCCCATGAGTAAATAAGAAGGAGAAGCTTTCTTCGACACGCCGCAAATTAAATATCCTAGTGATAATACGGCTTAAGGAATTTCAGTCAGTGGTTAGTAAGAAACAGATGGAATTTAGTTAAAAAGAACAAAAATATTTAGTCACACAAGAGCTCGTTCCTATGGCAGCTATATAATATAGTGGTCCGATCCTGCGGGTTCTAACATTTGTTCACAAGCATGTGACCTTGTCGACGAAGCAGTAGTTGCCGATCAAGAATGTGTTTGCTAACCAAATCATGAAAAATGTATAAGACCCTCTCTCAAAGAGTGTAATGGCTTAGAGTTTGGTAAAGCAAGTTGATAAAGAATTAAGTAAATAGTGTTATTTTTATATAGTTGTTGCATTAGATAAGTTCACTAACTATAGTGAACTATCGTCGTCACGAAAACAGAGTGCAACGCATGTATTAAAAAGGGGCAGCAACAAACAGATTAAGTTCCTGGTGGTGAGGTTCTTTGAATCAACTTTTGCATCAAGCTTTCTTAACCAAGATTTCCGCTCACATAAGGTGTTTTTTTCCATTTTGACATATATTTTCAAACATTTAATAAAACAATTCGGTTATCAATTTACAATTGCCCGTTGTACTGAGAAAATTGCAAGCTGTAAATTTTTTCATATACAAGATGCGGGCTACATTTGAACTCTACCCTAAATAGGTGACTATCGTTTCAATTCAAGCCCGATTAGCAGCTATTTTCATTCATCTCTGTATGTAAAGTTCCTGACTGACTGACTAATTGATGATCAACCCACAGCCCATACCGTAAGAGCTACAAAGCTAATGTTTTCACTGTAGTTACCTTTTGTGATAAATGGGGTTTTGCGAAATTCCACGTGCAATCATGGAAAAATCGCGAAAAACGATCAGCCCCAATCGCATTGTCAAATTTCTTTGTTCAACTTAATTTGTGTGGAGTTTCACACTTTTCGAAAAGTACATTCCTTCTTGCTGGGCCAAAGATTTGGTCAATCGTCTTCAAACCGACCCCGATTAAGAAAAAAAAACGTGATTTTTAGTCGATTTGGGTCAAAATTTAGATTTTCATTATTTTAATGTCAATCGATAGTACTGATCTTTACGAGTACAAATTGGTATAAAATTCCAAAATCGGACATTATTTGGCCGATATATGCCAAAAAATCATCAAGAAAGGCTGACTTCAAACAAATCGTTTTTAGGTCTCCAACTTTTTTTAAGCCATCGATTTTTAAATTTTTTGAATACAAATTGAGAGTAGGGATCCATAATCAGACAAAATTTACCTGACTGATATCAGTAATTCCATCCCAACTCATGGAAAAATGTGAAACAATAGTTTTTAATAGTTTTTGGGAAAAGTCGCTTTTGATATTCTAATCAGTTGGTGTGTGTCTGCCCAGAGCTTTCAATTGTATTTTTCAGAACGCAGTTCGTAATCGAGAACCTTCTAATACTTACATTTCAATTTGTATTAAAATTCATATGAAATGGAAAGCCTAAACGAGTATGAGCCTCCGAAACCAAGGGGCAGGTGGGCCCGGCTGATGCAAATGGTTGACAGCTCGAAGAGAATACGATACAGTTCGATTAGAGAGGCACGCCGAGCTGTGCTGAATTTCTTTATCTATATAATATTTCTGGCACTGGCATCAGTTGGTAAGCGATTAATTGGCATCTTTAGCGTAGGAATAATCCAGCCTCGTCCTGCAGTGACACAGACAACCAACAATATTCCCATGTACTATTTAAACGATGCTATACACAGGCAGGTAATAGGTCGTCGGGTGCCAATGGAGCCTGGATTGATAAGCAAATTTACGGATATTGACTCTTTGGATAGGTATTGGGACTTTGTTCTGTACACGTTTCTACCATTGCTCGATTCAGGCGACTTTAAGTCGATTGATAAAGAGTCCATCTGGGAGTTCACCAATGAGACAAATCAGTTCGATGGGATCTATGGTGACGTCTACAATCGAGTCATACTGCATGGAAATGTGCTGCTCGGACCCCCACGTTTTAGACAGATTATGGTAGAGAGTGGTCACTGTAGAAAGTGTGCCCCCTTCACCAAACACATGGGCACCTGCTATGCTTCCTACACGTGGTCCAATGAGCGCCGCACGGACTACCGCGGCACCAAGTGGGCCAGCATGTGGAAGGACGGTGCATTGCCGATCGTTGGCGAGATTGAAGTCTATTTGGGTGCCGGCTATATAAAGAGCCTCAGCTATGACAATGAATTGAACTTTCGTCTGGTTGAACACTTACGCGACACCAAATGGATCGGTCGCTCCACACGGATTGTCCTAATCGAGCTCAGTTTGTTTCACGTTAACACTCGCCTCCTCGAGAGCGTCAAGTAAGCAAAAGCAAAGTAGCTTGTCTTTGTTCGATATAATTTTATTTGAATACTCTAGTTATGAAAATTCATCTTTTTTATAACAGTGACAGACGATTAAGTATAACAGCTAGCTGGATTTAGTTAACTCCTCTGTTTGTCTGCTTCCCTTCAATCTAGACCTAAAATGTGTAACTATACGAAACGAAAATGGTTTGCCTTATTGATTTAAGAAGCTGTATATCGTAGTTAGTCGGAAATGGGTAAAATTTGAACTAGATCAGCATCTGCAGCCGAGTTAATATAACCATTTCCGTTTGTCCGCCTGTCTCCATGCAAACTAGTCTCTCATATTGAAAGAAATCGTCCTGAATCTTTTCACAGGTTCATCCGTCTGTATCATGCAATATAAATGTTAGTACCGGGTCGGACCACAATAACGAATGGCTGTCACACGGTTGATCGGTTAAAAACCATTTACTTGAATGGAAAACATCTTTATTAACATCTTAACCAAACCCTACATTTACTATTCTAACTATGCTTCTAATATCTATGATCGCACTTCAATATTTAAGAGTTTTTTAGGAAGAAAAGATATTTTCATTTTTTTTCTTTACTACCCTCACATATCTGCAAAGTCGTAAGTCGAATGTCTACAAAAGTATTTTAAAGGGTATTTAAGCTGCGGCAGGTTGCAGAAGACTTTTATCACCTGCTTTTATTATCCTTGGTAATTAAATTTAATGCCCGGCACACAGGTTAACGGTAGAGCGTCCAGCCACCGGTGGACTTGTACCCAGCTACTCTTTGCGATCACTGCGACAGGAAACTTTCTTTACCGATTCCAACTGGGCTATACAAATTGTAGTCTGTAGCTACTATCTGATGGTCGTGCTGTTTACCTTTAGAGAGATTCGACTTATAAAGAAAACTGGATTTTGTAAATATATCCGCAATACGATCAATTTAGCGGACTTTACATGCTATTTGGTAAGTGATTCAAAGAGTACATATACATTTTATTAAGTTGTATAACTTAAATTCCTGGTCACGAGGATATCAATTTATCCTGCTCACTTACCAGATATAAATATATATATATATATATTTAATATTCCTATTAAGACATTGGCAGCCCGAGGATAGCTGCTAATTGATCCTCTTTTTGATGACTTCTTTTATCCCTCAGTGTTCATACATAATGCTGTTGATCCAAGTGATGCGTTTCTTCTATTTTAACAAAATCATGAATATTGTAAAGACATCCGATAAATATATTAATCTTGACTGGGCTTCTGTACTTGCCGTCATATACAACAATATAGCTGCACTCACTATTTTTTTGGCCTGGATTCGTATATTGAGCTTTTTGGTCTTTAATCGGACATTGGTTATATTTGTGAATGTCGTCCGTGAGGTGCGTGAGTCTGAAAATAAACGCAATTTATCTACACCTTTCATGCATATAAATAGAGGCACAAAGATAAGAGAATATAATTGCATAGCCTTTACAAAGTTAAATTTTACTAAGGCATATATACACCATGCCGATAAAATAACTTGTGAAGGGTTTTAATCAGATATCAAAATTGTATAATATCGATTTTAATTTAAACGAGCAATACTCTGTATTTGACGCGTAGCTTGTAGTTAAATCAGGTGTTTATCTATAAACCGGATTTATTTTGGACTTTTTCTGAATTAAAACAGTTAAAGGAAAATATTATTTCTATACTCTTCTACATAACAAATATATATTTCTATATATTCTTATTTTTTTCCAGAGCACCAGCGAAATGGTTGGCTTTCTTTTAATGTTCATTGCCGTGTGCATGGCGTACGCCGAGTGTGGCATGACATTTTTTGGGCACATCGATAAACAGTTTTACAATCTATCATCTGCATTGCTGACCATGGTGAGATGGGTGGTGGGCGAGTTCAGGTTCAATAGCTTCAAGGTTAAAGAGATGAAAACCGGGATTTATTTCATTTCATTCGTAATAATTGTGTATGCCTTGCTGCTGTTTGCCTTCCTGGCCATCATCAACTGCACATACGACGAGATTCAAGCCTCTATGAAGACACGCGCCTCCAAATTGGGTCTCATCATTCGTTTGTTCTTCCGGAGTCTGTACGATATGATCTACTACATCTTCTGTGGCAAGCGCAAGAAACGCGCAAAGCACGACAAGGACATGCGAAGTGAACTGGCCACCGATCAGCGCATCGATCCCCAAGAGGCAGCCGAGCGGGCTGCCATGCGCCGGCAGTTGCTCCAGTGAGTCGTTCAAGGTGCTTCCCTAAGACCAAACTTCAATATTAGTTTATTGCAGAAATCCGGTCACCCTGACACAGACCGAATACCTGCCCAGACGCATGGAATGGTGGGTGTTTGTCGTTAATCGCCAACTAGGATATCAACAATGTATACAATTTACCACACTCTTTCGCAGTGCTGCAAAGCGCGTTAAAGCTTTGGAAGAGGTAACTGGCTCAGTGCTGAAGCGCCTCATTGGCTATTATAACACATTGCTCCGCGAACAAGGCGAAGAGCAAACATAGATATTTCTGACCTAAGAGGAGCTTAGCTAATCAACAATGAGAGCTCCCAATCTCTTTTTAGGAAGCCCAAATTTTATATGAGGTAATTCCGAATTCTTTAAATATTATTTACCTAACTAAGAAATACTAACCAATTTATTGTTTTTATTTATCATTTGGGAATATTGAATGAACGTAACTGAAACATTTATAACAAATAAATTGACTTCAAGTACTTGTTCAAAGGCGCTGCATAAGAAATCTATCGATAAGCCCTTAGACCGATTAGGAAAAGTTCAGATTCACTGGAGGAATTTCATTTAAGAATAGCGACACCCTATCACAAGCGTCTAACAACGAAATTAACTTTTTATATAAGCGGAAGTTTTTATAATTTCAATTTGGTAACCTGCAATCCCTCCACTCTGTCCCGCCTTTGTGCGCTGCACTAGAGAGCTCATTATGCGCTTTGTAATCCCTGTTTATGTGCCATAATGCTTATAAGTAGAAATAAAATAATAAAAGGGCATGGTAAAAGGGCGAAACGGGAAAAGGAAATGCCGCACAAACTGAAATATGAAAGCGCAAATAATGTTTAAACAATTTGTTGTCCTTTCGTCTGATTTAATGACCAGTCGTCAAGTGGAGCGAACTTCATCCCCCTACCCCTCCTTCAACCCACTGCCTATGTTTCGCCCAGTGCCGATTGGACGCTCGTTTCCATCTGGACAGTTCTGACTTTGCTTGTCGTTATAATTTGCAAAACTGTGCACAAAAGAGGAACAAAAGCTAGCAAAAGTGTACGAGTGAAGATTGGCCAACTAGAATATACCCTGAATCCAGCTGCCGTTACATATATTCGAACTTTATGCTCAAAAAATAAACACATACGAACTGTCTGCTTTTCTGCCCCTACTCCCATAGTAAATGCATTCTTGGTTATCTTCGGTTTTCATTGTCCGATCTTTTTTAAATGTGTATACGAAAACTATTTGATGTCTCAAAAACAATGTTTTTCAATATACCGGAAACAGCATCATCCTGATCCGGAACAAACGTTCCTAATACATTCTGAAACATATCCTTTCGTCTGTTGCCTACATTTCCACAAAACCAACATACCCATGCACAGCTGAAGCAGGGTATAACAGGGAGGCAGAAACAAAAAAACAGCAAAAAAAAAGGAAAGAAATTAGTAATAAAATGGAGAGCAAAGTAAAATGGCCGGAGGAGTCTGAGCGGGCGGCGAGCAACTTGTTGCTCCATGCGCCGCTCGGTAACAGGATGCCACTTCTCGTTGCCCGTTGCCAGGCATGCTGGTGATTTCCTGTGAGGCGTCTGCCTCGGCGATGGCGGCGGTGGCATCGGCTTTGGCTTTGGCTTCGGCGTTGCCAACTTGCAACTGGCGACTGACGCTTCCTGCAGCATCCACATCCACGGCGCGATATTATTATTGCTTTTGCCATCCTTTTCATACACTAACAGCGTGCATTAACATTTTGTCGCACATAATGTGTAACTGCATATTCCCAAAGTTAAGCATACATATATGCATATTCATGTTTTTCCTCCTTTGTGTTGCTAGTAAGCAGATTTAATGCCGATATCCAATTGTGGCATATGAACTACTCTTTAGAATACACTATTACTTATTATTTAACAAAACAAGTTGAAGTTGTATCGAATTCCAACTAAATTTGTATTCAAATTGTCATTCTTTTAGTGGTTGTTTCCACTTTCGAGAAAGGAATTTGTTTTACGGTGAAGTTTTACGTTTAAATCGCACAATAATTCTCATTTTGTGGCTCAGTAAATATTGATAAGGGTATTTATTAGTCGGTTCTGTTAACTTTTTTTTTCTTTGCGCTGCTTTTAAGTTATTTGCTGCTCTGTAAAAATGATTATTTTCATTCTAGGAGTTGTGTGGCAAGTGGCAAGTTCTGTTGGCCGTCCGACAGCCGCTCCCCCTGCTCCACGTACCCTGCTCCCAGCTGGCTGCCCGGCTTCTTCTTGCCACTTGAATGACTCATTAAAAGTGATTTCATTTTTAAAAACATTTTTCTCGCTGCGGTTGCTGACGGCATCGTCGGGCTTAGCGCGTTATCAGCAGTCAGAGCCGAGTTCTCTTGGCCTCGTTCCTCTATCTCAATCTCTCTCTACCTCTCTCTCTCTCTCTCGCTGTGCTTCTCTGTCTTCGTGCTGTTGTCTTTTATTTAATTTACTTGGAGTTTACTTTTTTAATTCGCTTAGCTACTTTTGGCTGAACCGTCTTCTGTCTTGCCTCGCCGTTGCGCTTCCTTTGTGCGTAAATCCTTCACAGAGAAAAAGGGACATTTGCCTGCCAGATAAGCGCTCTGAGTCACTCCGAGCTGCTGTTCTTGTTGTTGTTGTTGTTTTTTGTTGTTTTTTGTTGTTGCTGTGCTCGTCCAGCTGCCTAAACGACTTGACAGTTACTTTACGTAATAGGATACAAAATTGCATTGCTGCTGCTGCTGCAACTGGAACATCAGGAACAGCCACTTGAATGTCGCTTGTTTGCCTTTTGTCAGCTTTTTTACCTAATTCCCCAGATTAGCTGCATTATGCGCCACGCTGGGCGCATAATAACAACCAGCCCAGACGCAGGCCTAACGCCAACGTCCCTCCTCTTGCCCATGTTGTCATCGTACCCGTTGTCGTTGTCGTAGTTGCTGTTGCTGTTGCACATGTGAGTGGCCACTTGAGCAACAACTGCAACTGCAACTTCAACTGCAACTGCGATAAGTGATGACTACTAAATGGACCCACGCACAGCACGACGCGATATGCCCTTTGCCGTTTAAGCCCACACGCATTAGGCAAACAAACATGTGAGAAAACTTAAAAGTGCAGATTTAACAAGTTTGTTTTAATAATTAATTATTAGGTCAAGCATTTAACTGAATAAAATAGACATAAATAATATAAGTTCGCTTATTAGCGAAGCAACAAATTCTTAGTAATTAAATGAAGTAAAAGCTTAGCCTGTTTTTCAGCCTCAGTTTTGTGGAATCATTGACAACAGTCTAGAGCATTAAACCATATCCCAAAATAGATTTTCGACTTTGTAAAAACTGCAATAAGAAAACTTCAGTTCCAAACTAAAAGAATAAGATTAACGTGTTTATACAGATAGACATAGTTAATTCTGGCAAAAAATAAATGGTCTGATATACCTTTACTGTCGGGTACCTTTCAGTATGTCCAATACGTCCTTAGTTCTTAATCTTAAACAAACAATCTGTAAGGGTTGAAGGTGTAAAACGTAAACTGTAATTTTAAAACATAGCTAAATGTTGGTTATTGAGTTTATATAGATACATAATCATCATTAGACCTGGTCTCAAAGCCATTTTCAAGTTGGACTTCATTTGCGATAAGAGAATTCACATTGACACACGCATATATTCAAAATGGTGCAGACTTCATTAAGTTCAGATCCGTAAGTTAATTTTTCTCAGTGCATACACTTACACACTTTCACACACACACACACTCGATTAGCTTTCATTTCAGCGGGCGTTTGCCAGTGGCCAATAAATTTCTATTTAACCGTGGACAGCGACTGAAATAGGGGCAGAACTAGTGATGGAGCGGGGAGATGGGGGGTGGTGATGAGGGTGTGGTGGAGTCGGAGTCGGGGTCTTGGAACTAACTAACGGCTACTGTCGGGCCGCGAGCGGAGCTCCAATGAAGCGGCACGTGGAAATGCTTATAATTGCATCCGCGGCTCCCGCCTGTGCTGGGACTGAAGCTGGCACGGGGCACATGCAGCAATAATTTTGACGGTTGATTGATCAAAGCAGCAGCCGGCGATGTGGTTGTTGTTATTGTTGTTGCCGCTGTTATTTACTGTGTGTGTGTGTGTGTTTTTTTTATCGGTGCTCAACAGCAGAGCAACAGCAGATAGCCGCTTATTTACTTAACTTGGTAACAGCTATTTTACATGCCTTTTATTCATCAAGCGCACATCAACTGCGCTGCAACATTGAGGGTTGTTGCAAGATACAATTTACAAGATACAGATACACTGCTGCTGATACATAGATGTATCTGCAAGTAGCTGCTACAACAGCTGACTCGATTAACTGGCCCTCTGTCGCTGTCTGTGTGTGGACTGCGCTCCGCTGCAATAAATCAAATTTTGAATCGCCTTCGAGCCAAGTTAAATTGCCAGCCGGAAGCCCGAGATGCGGGAGTAACAATCCATTATTGATTGCACACTACAAAACAGTTTATCAATAGTTTGAAGTAGGTTTTTCTTAGCGGAAAATCAAATACAATGTATTCACGGTCTTACAGCCAAGTCAATTGCTGAAAGGAAACGCCATTCGGAATATTTAAAAGGATTAAATTATCTCGCTTAGCTTGGAGCTACAGATTACTGGGCAGCATTAGCAAGTGTTGTGCTTGAATGCAAAGGGTATTACGATTTTGGAGCAACATTTTGAAGATTTCTGCTCTCAACAGTTGATTTGATAACTGACTGTAGTAGTCTCTCAGTTTAGCGCTGTAGCAATAATTCAAAATATATATTATGAAAAACATTTTAGTTTTTCAGTATTTATTAACTAACCTCAGGAGTTCTGCAGACACCTAATTAATCGGACTACTATATAAGATGATTCCCATACTTATCCGGAATCTGCAATAAAGTATATGCACACTAAATTTGGTATTTCTGAGACAATGGTATTTTATATTCGCCTGTCTGAAAATTGCCCTTGTTTACTTGTGTTTGAGTAACAATTTATTGAAAGTACAACTGAAAAGCATTATATTTCAGCTTGCCATAACATTTTTGTAATGCTAACAAGTTACAGATTACAAAGCTGTCTTTTATATATTTCTCTAAAGATTTCTTAATAAAACTCAGGAATTGGTAAATTCTGAATTCAACTGAGATGATTTAAAGTATTAGGCATGTCATATGTTCATTTATTTTATTTATTTTTGTTAAAATCTGAAAAAGCTCAAATGAAATAATTCGTTAGAGGCATTCTATGCCAAACATACGTACTTATTTCGGCTACCAATTATGTGTGCATTTTCCTGTCAGTCCTTAAACAATCTGTAGTGCAAAATACCAAACCAGAAATGCACTCGATATTGGCAAATATGTACAATTGAAGACAAAAAGCAACATTTCTGTTTTAGATGAAGAAATTCTTCGTTAAATTCGCAACATTGTCGCAGAGCAATCAATGCGAATATTGTTTTGCTTGTTTCCATGTGAGAGCTCTATAAAAATGCTGCTGTGCTCAATGTTTTGTTACCTATGACCTGATCTACTCTTTATGCAAGTCACACACACACACACACACACACACGCACACAGACTAGGAGAGGGGGGAAGCGTACTGTGTGCAACTGTTGCAAGCAGTTGGGGCCAAAACAAAGCCACAAGGCTGTGGGTGTGCACGTACGAGTATCTGAAAGATACACAAAATACACACAAAACACCGAGTGCGAGTTGTGGGCACGGATTTTGGCTTAGGCAAATGCAGCAAATGTAGCTAATAAAACAATTATGCAATGCAGCAGCAGCAGCAGCAGCAACAACAACAATCAGTTCGATGCATTGTGATGGCCTTCCACTGGCAACATCATCATCTTCATCATCCTCGTCAGCGGCAACAGCATTGTTGCAGTTGTTGCCTTTGTATGCCATTGTCTGCCTGGCGGCCAGTAACTGTAACTATGCGAAAACTAGGCGCAACTACATGTGTGTATCTGTGTGTGTGTGTGTGTGTGTGTGTGAGTGTGAGTGTGTGTTGGTTGCATGAAAAGTATGCCAAACAATGGCGCCTCCAATGCTAGGCCACAAAAGCCGATTCGCGCCAGTCCCAAGCCCAGGCTCCGGCTCTGGCCCATGCCGAGCCATGCTCAGGCCCCACCTCTCCGACTAATGCATGTGAAATGAAATGCAGGCGGCTCATAGCCATCAGCTTTTGACTGCAGCATAAGTTACATTTCGGACACCAGCCGAGTTAGCAAGATGCCCAGACAAAGGCGTCCAAACAAAACAAGAGAAAAACTCAAATAACAGTCAACTACTTACAATTGCTCAACTGGGATATATCCTGCATTCCAAATGCATTCTCATTCTATTTAACCAGCTTGTTGCAACTTGCGACACACTTTGCTGCATCAAATATTTATTAATCGTTTGACTAATGCCTTTTTATTGATTTGCCATGGACTGTTGGCTGGCGCTCAATTTCTAACTAATTTTGATATTCGAATGCAGTTATAAAAGTCACCCATCACCCTAGTTTTTAAGGCGCCTAAGTTTGTTAGTTTAATGCTATTGGGCACAGCCTAATTAGATCGATATATTCCGAGCTGTCTTGTGTACATTTAAACAGCATAAAATCTGATCAAATGAGAACAAGTTTTTAAACCTTTTCGTACTAATGTCCTCTAAGTTGTTTGCTGAATTAAGCTCTCAGTCTTTAAGGTATATGTGATTGTATCATGAAGCGGCTGAATTTGTTTATAAAAGAAAATAAGCACCGATTTCTAAATCAATTAGGTAGCTGAGAGCCCACCGAATATTCTAGTTCGAGCTCTATTAAATGCTGAGATAATTGGACTACAACCCAAGACAAGCCTGGACATATTAGATTCAAATGAGATTCTGATTGGTGAATCCACATACATATGTCCACATATATTACTTATACATTCATATCATTAACGTAAGTTTGCATGCATTTGATATGTGCAATCCCCAAGGCTAAATATTCAGATCCTAGCTTAATACACTTCTTGATATAGACAGCGATATGTTTTTTAATATGTTAGATATATAAAAAAGTAACCCGAAGCGCTTTCGGTTCTTTCTTTTATGGCCTTGCCGTAGTACGTAGCTATTAGACAAGCTATTTCTATTTGGCATAGTTGTACAGTGTAAACCCCCGATGAGAATTTAGGTAGCATATAGGGTATACAAATTTTCGTTGTAATGAAACTGGCTCGCTGCGCTCATCGTCCATCGTCCAGCGTACGTCGTCGCATGTATCTTTTAGATAATCTTCATTTCTCGTTTGCGGCTAATGGCCTGGCACTGGCACTGGCTATGGCCAGGGCACTGGAACTGGCCAGGGCACTCAAGGATATCGCCTGGCATTGCTGTTGCTGTTGTTGTTGCTGTTGCTGTTGCTTTATGACCATTGGGGTACGCAGCACTTCACTATCTTTTTACTCTTGGCTCTCTTAAATGGGACACGTTGCGGTTTCCCTCTGCGTTGATGACTAAGTGAGCCGTGAGGCCAGAGTCGAGTTTTGAAGCCAGTTTCAATGCATTCGCTACTTGCCTTTTTTGCGGTTTCACATGCTCAAACACATGCGCACACACTCATGCATCTCTCACTCGTCCAAACACACACGTGCATATTTAGAGATACTCAAAATGAGATACAAAGATACATTTGGACTTCCTACCATTTTAGCTGTTTGGGTTTGATGGGCGGCACACACGACGAGCCAACGTTGCGCTCAACAGGACGGACACAACCCTTCAGACTGAGAACCTTCTCATACTCTCAGTCCCAAAACGCAGTCACGGCTCCAATTCCAGACGGGGCCGCTTCCTGGGGCTGGGCTCAGCTCGTCGACTATGCCGAAATGTGTGCCAGCAGGCCGGCCGAGATTTATTTTTTTTTTCGCTGCTTTTTTCTTTGCCTCGTTTTCATCTTCGCAAAATGTGCATTGAAATTTGAGATATTTGCCTTGGATATTACTACAAAAGGCCGGGCCTAAGGAGCGGCGGCATAACCCGACCCAACCATCATCTTACAGTTAAACGCATCTTTTCTCAACTCTTGTCGTCTTCGTCTGGGCCTTTCGTTTCGGGCCTTTGTCGCGTGGGCGTCAGTTAAGATTGGCTTTTATTTTGGCTTGCCTGCAGATCTTTGGCGACGACAACGACAACGATAGCCACATTGGAATGTGACTGAGAAGCGGCTTTCATAATTCTCATACATTGGCTTTTGTCTTTCAAGTGTGTGGCGACATCTCCCCACCAGGCCGCCTGTAACACTGGAAGCTCCAACTTTTGTGTGGGCTCAATGTGATATTATTGTATTAATAAACCACGATTATTTTCTTACAAAGAAAAAAACTGACTACTCGATGCTGCAGTTGCCAGTTAGTGGGAAATCGGGCTATTTTCAAAACGCCTTGCACCGAAAACAGACTTGTTTTTCTTGCAAAAAATTGATATTTTCACAAAAAGCTTTCAACATGACCGTACAATAAATTTAAATAATTTTATATCAACTCATTGCAACATGTAGTAATATAAATTAATTATTTTTTAATATATTTTAAAAACATAAAATCTTAGTATATTTATTATATTTAATGCTATTATTGTATGTTTACATAAAAAGGATATTATGTTTTTGTGCAAATGCATGCAACAAGCAGAGGGAAGCATCTCCGACGCCAATTATGTATATTTATATATTCTTGATCTGCATCATCAGTCCGTCTGTACATCTGTCTGTCCGTCTATTTAATTCTCTTATTAGGGTGTAGCATACTGTGCTGCTGTGTTCCTTCCATGTGAGCCTGCGATTAAAATGAACTCCAAGGTATGCGAAGTCCGTCTTGATGCTTGAGGAGTTCAACTGCTTGGCTTCTGCGGATGGCAAATGTGGAGCATGTCGACTTTCGCCTGTCGATGGCAATTAGTCGCTTGGATGTCCACTTCTGAAAATATTAGGGAAACGTGAGAGGCATATTATTTTAACGATCGAACATTTAATTTAATGCAGCATTGCATTATTCACAGATAAATTTTACCGACATTTTTGTTTTTGCTGCAGATGCAGATAAAATGAAATTTGATTTTCAGCTTTTAAATTAAAATTGTTCAATTAATTGCGAATATGAAATTCTTAAAATATTTTACTAAGGTAACAAAATAGGCTGAGAATTTGCTTTTAATATTTGTTGGTTGGTTTATTGACAATTCTTAGTTTCATAAAAATTATTTAAAAATATTGCAAAAGCAGCTTAGCCAAATATCTTTTGCAAAACATTTCTTTAAATATAAATACAATTTGCACATTTGCATTCATATTTAGAAAATGTAAGCGAGCAAAACGACTTTTTCAAACATCAATGAACAGCAAAATTCAAATAGAATTATTATTATTGAGTTCGTGCTGAGATTTTGATTTGAAAGCTGGATTTTGCTTTTGTATATGTTTTATTTATAAATCGAACATGATTTCTTCTTGAAGCCCCATCATTTGGTTTACTGCACTAATATGAACTCTCTGGTACTAAGTTGGCATTTTAAAAAATGCATATATAACCATAAAGCAAACACAGCTATACAATATAAAATTCCCTCTGCGATTGAGACATGTATTATTCAGGAAATCCCCTTTGAAAATTCAATTGTATTCCATTTCATTGTCCGTTGCTCGGGCAGCGCATAAAAAAATATATATATTTAATTAAAATTAAAACGCACAGCAGCCACGAATTAAATAAACAACTTTTAATTGAGCTCGACAAAAAGTTTAAGCAAACATTGCAAAAATGCAAACGTCATGTGCGATATATACAGCATAAATGCTGTACATGGATGCAAATATATATATATATCGATATATAAAGAGGCTGACTCGATTTCAGATATTGTGTGCCCATAAACC